AGACCTTTGCATCTGAAAACTAGAGAATGCGCATCTGGTGAGCGGGGCTTCAGCGTTTCAGAGTTGGCGGTCTGAAAGCACCATAAGGCCAGCCTACAGTGACCCAATAGTGTTTGAAAAATATCATTCACAAAAGATGTTTAATGAGTTGAGCCTGATTGTAGGAGAAGAATTTGAAAGTTTTGAGAAATGTTATCAAATTGTTGCTTTTCTGCACAATTGGTAAGCAGCTAACTCCTTATTTTGCAGTTTCACTGCTGCTTTACTCATAAAAAAAACAATACCTATTCTTATGAAATAGGTGTCTGTCACTCAACACATCTACAATGCAATTTATAATTGCAGATTACACAAAATAGACCTCATTGTGTATACTTGAAAGTCACTGAATTAGTGATGCTTAAAAAGGAACGTAATTTTCCTTTTGCAACAAAAGGTAAGTATCTTATCTATTATCCACTCGGTGGCTGAGTGGATAGCACTCTTGCCTCTCAGCAAGAAGGTTCTGGATTTGAATCCTGGTTGAAACGGCCTTTTTGAGTGGAGTTTTCATGTTCTCCCCGTGTCTTCACAGGTTTCCTCCGTGTACTCCGTTTGTCCCTACCCCTAAAAACATGTGCAATAGTTCAGGGTGAATGAGTGTGTTAACAATAAATAGATCCGTCCTCACTCCTCAGATACAGAGTAAACATCCACACGTCCGTTGCCGGGTTGGAGAGGCAGCAGTGAGAATAGACACTAAGACCTAATAGTAATGAGGTTGATATTGGTTTATAACTGAAGCTAAATCATTTCCATCAGATTCTTCATGTTATGTGGGATAGTACCGAGGTTTGAGATTAAGTGTAAGATCTGATGAAGCTACTTGCATTAGCATGTGGTACTTTTGGGTATTTCCATGGTGCCTTGCTCAAGAGCACACATGTGTATGAATGAACCTTTCCCTTATTTGTATTCTTGTCTTATTATTATTATTCTTCAAACCCACTGGCTGCAATAGTTACTCCTATCATTTATTGATTACAACAAAACTATAATTCACCTTTATTTTACTGTACTCCCATTAAGGAACCCTTCTCTTTGCTGCACTGAGGTTTCTGTTATTGAAAACGCTGTTGTCGGTGGTGTCATGATTATGTATTCAGCCTGCCGGCGATATGATAGATTCAGATGAAACCACCTCTGCTGCTCAGTATCTGATTTTCTGTTGAGGCTTTTGTTTGGAATGGTTTTGTTTATGCAAAAAACAGCGACTGGAACCAGGGCGATCATACATTACAAATTTACAAATAGCTGTAATAGAAAGTTTGAGTTGTTCGTCGCTGATGCAGAAGGGTCTAAGGATAGAGATGATCCGGGACATTTAGGAACACTTATGCACATGTATTAACTTTTATGGGCATTGGTCATCCTGCTACCCCAGGCATGGGCAAACTTTTCCTCCTGAGGACCACATTAGAATATCGGCCTGCTGTCGGGGGCCAGACCTGATTCCCAATGGTTTTCTAAGGGTACGTTTTTAATACATAAATATATTATATTAAATGTTATATATTGCTGAAGACTGCAGCTGCAGAGCTCAACACGCAGCACACGGATTTTATAGTTTTTATACTACAGATACATAAACTGAGGAGGGCTCAGGGGCCTGATAGAAACGTCCAGGGACCAGGGTCTGCCCACGACAGCACTGCTCTATGGACCACTCCTATTTGTTTGTATTTCCTGTGAAAACATATAAGTTTGCTCACCCATCATCTGTACTGCAGTTAGCAAGTTTTTCCAACGTTTTGTAAGTGTAAAGTTCTTTGGATTAGAACAAAAAGTTCGAAAGAAAAGCTGCTAACTGAAGTACAGATGATGAGTGAGTAATTCTGATAGAACAGAAATCTTACACAAATGTATTTCTTGTGTTTTCTGCTGTATTTATTTATTTTTTTCTTATTTTTGCAACATGCGACCAGAATATAATATGCAGATTATGTGATGGAGAAATTAGGCAAATATGTGTTGTGCTGAAGAAATATATTACTTCAAAAATGTATTATTTAAATGTATTGAATTCTTGTATTATCAGTTAATATTGAGTAAGTTGGTTAGGGGGCTGGTGCTATGAGACTTGGGTGGCATCTCTGACTGCCACCCCCCTGACCCAGAAATGGATTAAAGGGTAGAAAATGGATGGATGGATGGATTGAGTAAGTTTAAAAGGTATTAGTGCAAATTGAATCAGTCTCTGTGGATATGTTGAACAGAGTGATATAATCTTCCTTTTGTCACCGCAGAATATGCTTGTGTGTATGAACTTAGCGTTAAACCATGTGTATATGTAATTAACACATTTTAAAACAATTATGGGAGTTTAATGTATTGTCAACAAACAATAAGTCTTTTTTTCTTCATTTTGTAATTATGCTCTTGGCAAAAGCAGAAAATTACTTTTTAACATAAACATCTGTAGGTGTTAACATCGCGCCACTTCCCCCGCACTTCTACATCGACTTCTACACCTATAGTGAGACATTGGCATGAAAAAATATTCATAAGTGATAATTTCTGCATAGGAAAATCCACATAACCTTCGCCTTTATTGCTTTGAACAGTGGAACAATGGCAGAGATAGGGACACTGTCATTTCGCATTAGCACTGTAATTATACTCGCATAGTCCGGTTTTGTTCATAGCTAATAGAGATTAATACGATAATTGCACATGCAGCTTGAAAATTCATTAAAACATGATATATTGACCCATGAATTCCCGAACACCAGCCCCATCATGCAATTATTCATTTAGCAGCGCTTTTAATTTTTTAATCCAATTATAGAAAATTATATCCAACTGTGATAATGTGACTTTGTTGTTGTTTGTTTCCACATTCACGCTTTCTAAATCGGACCATTGTGTAGTTTCACCAGATATTCCAAATTACAAATGAGGCGAGTTTTGGGTTGACTGTTACACATATGGGAATGATTGTTCTATACTGCAGTGTTTTTTGTGTGTGTTCAATTATGTGTTAAACTAGGCCCCCTTTTAGCTTTTAAGGTTAACAAAAGAGCAGAATGTTGTGCTAAGTGCTAAGTAAAATGTTTTTCATTAATCGCGTAAAAAAATTAACGCATGCCCATGCATCCCATAATAACACTTAGAATGGCACGGACACGTGTGTGTGAGATGGCAACAGAGCAGGTCTCTGGGAATTAAAGTTTTAAAAGAATTCAAGGGGTCCCTGTATGAACTCTGCGAGCTGCGGGCGCTCTGTAAAGCGGTTCCTCCAGCGGCTGTGATCACGGCGAACGGCGCAGCGTAACACGTGATTATATCCAAGAGCACGCACAGAACTATTCTCTGACTGTAGTGTGCGTGTCTTTGCGTAACCGGTGCACACAATATATACAGCACTGAAGCTGGACTATGGAGCCTCAGGCTATATCCACACGAAGACAAAACGCTTATAATTTCAGAAACTTTTTCTGTAAACACGGGGTTAGCTCAGTAAATGTGTGCGTCCATATGAATGTAGTCAATACGCCTGAAAACGCTGTGAAACTATGCCAGACCTGTTGGTGGCGCTGTGACGCAATGACGGGATCAAGCCCAAACTTCCGTGGGCATGCGCGGAATTTTGTAAACAGACAACATGGCGAGTGAGGTTGAACTGTTGCTTCGGGTCACACTGGATTACAAAACCAACAAGCTACATTGTTGTTGTCATTATTTTCTGAGTGCGGCGCATGCGTGCTTTAACAAGAGGCGGGGCGATGACGCAAGCGTCTCAGATACATTGCGGAGAGGCAGTAACCACGGAGCGGCATATACGGAGTTTTGAAATCTTTCCACTCTGGGACCTAGTTTCAAAAATGTTCGTTTACACCCCCCCAAAACGCCGGCCTCGTATGGACGATACACTGGATTGATAAAGTATTTTTGCGTTTAGGCCTGAGCTTGACTTCGTGTGGACAGGGCCTCAGTCTCCTCCGAGTCTTCTCCCAAAGCGCACTCGCTAAATTAAAGCTGGGGTACCTAATTTTCCCTTCCACTACCAGTTCATGACAGATTTAATGACATTCTGCCTCAGACTGTTTTGAAATGTCCCTCATCTGTAAAAAACAATAGTTTTGGTCTGAGTCTAAACAGAAAGATAATGTAATGTTACAAATACAGTACATATGTACACTATGCTGTCATTTATCTTTCCATTCAAACAAACATTTACAGAAAAATATGGCATCATTTTTTTGTTAGTTTGAAATGTGATTAATTACGATTAATTAATTTTTAAGCTGTAATTAACTCAATTAAAAAAATTAATAGTTTGACAGCCCTAGAAAAAACGCATCTGCGCACGCGTCAGCCGGCGAGAGGTCCATTCATTTGAACGAATTCACAGCGAGTAAACTAGAGTGGTCCAAAACACTCCCCTCAGCATTGACACACATGTGGAACGGAGCTTTGAGCCAAGAGCCAACCTTCCGACCATCCTGGAAAGACGTTTTCGAGAGGTCAGCCAATGCTATATGTTAGCATTGGCTAATTCTTAATCCAGGTCCACCCCCATCGGCCCGAGGTGGTATTGCAGCATGTCAGCGCACATCATTTTGGCCACTTTTGGCCACAATATACTTTCAATATTTATAAGAGTAAATCATAATTTAATCTTCAACTATTGATTCGAAAACAAAACATATTAAGAGAGATCCTTTATACGTTCCACTGTGAGGAAATTTCAGTGTTGCATCACCCGTTACAGAACAGTAGGAATGAGGAGCACACAACAATAACTCTATACTGATATAAAATAGCTAATGAAGAAGCAAGAATTAAGTACAAAATGGCTAACTGTAGCATAATGAAGAAGCAAGAATTAAGTAGCTAACTTAAGGATAATGAAGAAGCAAGTATAAATCACTTTGCATTCTAAATATATAGTTGTTTAGACAGTGGAGATGATTGTGGACTTCAGGAAGAGCTCTGTCCCCCCAACCCCACCCTCCGTGATGGACTCCCCCATCACCTCTGTGGAGTCCTTCCGTTTCCTGGGCACCACCATCACCCAGGACCTCAAGTGGGAGCCGACCATCAGCTCCCTCATCAAGAAGGCCCAACAGAGGATGTACTTCCTGCGGCAGCTCAGGAAAGCCAAGCTGCCTGCACAGATGTTGGTGCAGTTCTACACGGCCATCATCGAGTCCATCCTCACCTCCTCCGTCACCGTGTGGTTCGCTGGAGCCACAGTCAGGGACAAACAGAGACTACAGCGCATCGTGCGCTCTGCAGAGGAAGTGATCGGCCGCAGCCTTCCATCGCTGCAGGACCTGTACGTCGCCCGAGCTCGAGGCCGGGCTATACGTCACTTTACTTCACTGTACAGCTGTCACCTTACATTGTGTGCAACTGTTGCACTGAGCCAAAGCAATTTCCAAGTCTGACTTCCTGTTACTTACGTGGCAATAAAAATGATTCTGATTCTGATTTGCATCTGTACTTGTTGGCAGCCGGAAGGTCTGGGACAAAGTGACACATGTGGTTTCATATTGCACATTCTGACATTTTATTGCACAGATGCACGATATCTGATGTTCTGCAGTGAGTTCAGCTGGTAAAGAATTTGACTTGTGTTTTTTCTAATATTAAACTTGTCTTTCTTTCTTTTTTAAATCTGAAAATGAGTATAAATCAAATTAGCAATTTCGGTGCGTAATGTACTTGTTTGTGGTTGTGTTTTGTGTAAATAATGAATTACTATGGACCTGTGTTGTGTTGCAGACTTGTGTGACTGGTTTGTGTAATCAAAGTCAAGGGAACATACAATTCCTGATGTATAAGAAGGGAGGCACAGGCTTTAACACTGATCAAGCACACGGCTGTTTACTAAGTGCTTTAGAGAATAAGAAAGAACATTAGAATTATAGATAATCACAGAAAATTAAAAAGAGCAAACATACAATCTGTATGTTGTATAAACAGAACTGTTTTGAACCTGGATTAGAAATCAGTCTCACATTTATAGACGTGAGACCCAATAGATATAAGACAGAGATAAATGTATGGGTAAGAATCCCTGCACAATATCCATCCATCCATTTTCTTCCCCTTAATCCATTTCTGGGTCAGGGGGTGGCAGTCAGAGCTGCACCCAGTCACAGAGCACCAGCCCCTCACTGATCCTCCTGCAGGTGCTGAGTCCACAGGAGCTGAGAGCTTTCAGCGGGGGCTTCAGGCAAAGTGGGGTTAAGTGTCTTGCCCAAGGACACAACGACAGCAGTCATCAGTGGGAGTTGTGAAGTAGGTCTTACGGTGGGCTCGAACCCATGACCTTCAGGCCCAAAGGCCGATGTTCTACCAACTGAACCACTGTCACCCAGAGTCTCTGCACTACTTCTTTTACTTCTTTTTTTCTGGCAATGTATTTTAGTTTGTAACATTCTGCTGATGTTTCTGATTTTATGCTGAAACTTAAGTTTGAGTTCGTTATTGCTCCTGGATGATACTAGTTTGTTAAATTGTTTGTGGACATATTGATCTTGACACTGCTGCCCTGGGGCGACTTATATAAGTGAGGCAGCCGATCTGTGGCATCAGCCCCTCAGCATGACTCCCACTAATATCGAAGACTGGGATCTATTTGTTGGCTTTAATGGTGCTGGAAATTGCAAATTGAATATTTGTTTCACCTTTCTTGTACGCCACACACAATACTGTTTAGTTCAGTCTATGGACCATGATCCATATTGTCCCAGTCATTTTCTTTGTATATAACATAAGGATATTGCTATGCTGTCTACACACACACACACACACACACACACGCACGCACTTGAGTTGAAATTGCTCTTTTGATTGCACGCCCTCACCCCTTCACCCTTCCCCCCTCCACATATGCATCCACTCTTAACAACAATCACCCTGTTTTCCACAATACACCCAAACTACTCGCATTACTGTCCATTTACCAGCCGATCTGTGTCACCCGTGGCCCCCTTTTATAATATAGACTCTCCCCTTTCGCCTGCGCTCTTCCAATCTGCACTCAGAGTAATAGAGTTTGCTCTGGCCCTCTCCCCGCGGGCCAACTCCGCGTCCCCAGCCAATCTCTTTAGCGCCGTGTTTTTATACCGTCCCCGGGCGCCATCGTCACGGGTCAACAACGGAAGCGCGCAGAGGAGCCAGTGTAGCCGCCGCGGATGTCAACAAGCTCTCCCAAGCGCCGCGTCGGGCTTTAGCAGCGAGGGGAAGCCGCCAGCGGTGCAGTCTCCAGAGAGAGAGAACAAAAGATTCAAGAGATGTCGTTATGCTCAGAAAATGGAAGGGTGAAAGGTGGCGGCGGAGTGATATGAGAAGGGAGCGTGGGGTGGTTTTATGTCACTGGTTTGGAGATGATTGTGGTTGGAAAGAGTGTTTTGGAGTTTGTGGGGAATAGAAGTGATATGATGGAACAGTGCATAACCTGGAACACATCTCATGACAACGCCTTGTTCTTTTGATATCCAATCTTAATTAATAATTCTAAAAAAACACCTCAGATTAACACTACCAAGCTATGCACAAAAAAAAAATGATATTCTCGACACAGATAACTTTGATTTATCCCGATTCCCCACTATGTCCAGTAGATCGCTAACAAAAGCTGCACCCAAAATCCCAAGATCACAATCTCAAGTTCGGTAGACGGATTATCAACACCTGAATTTAAATCAATTCAATTAATCATGTGACAGTAACAGAGCGAGGGGCTTCCTTATTATGGGTTTGGCGACAAGTTTTGGCATATTTTGTAAGCAATATAATATAATTTCTTTTAAACTGGCTTGATTTAAAGCTATAAAAAGTGGCGTAGCAGTTCTAGCATAGTTTTTCTTATGTGTTTGATGTGTTGCTCACCATTGTATCCCTGAACTTTAGAGGGGCCAAGGCTGTGGTGTAGGTCTAGGTCTGTGAATTAGATTAAATGGATTTTATGGAATTATATTTCAATGATGAGCTACATCTAAGAATATTGTTTGCTGTTTCGTGCTTCCAACTGTGTATTAAATTATCTATCCATTCATCCATCCATCCTCTTCCCCTTAATACATTTCTGACTCAGGGGGGGTGGCAGTCAGAGCTGTGATAATTAATATTAAGGGAATGCAGTTCATTAAGTTTGGCTAAGTATTAAAAGTAATTTAAAAAATAATCTTAAATGTCTAAGTCTGTAAATTAGCTGAAATGGATTTTATGGAATTTATGGACGTTTCAATAATCTTCCATCAGCGTGTTTAAATCATCTATGAATTTATATTTTCCAACAACAAAAATTGAATCAAGACGGCTGATTGCGTCCGCCAAAAGTTGTCCGTTATCAAAATGATGTCTGTCCTTGCGGGATCCAGTTGAGAGTAAAAAAGGTTTGGCTTTCTCTTCCAGAAGCAAAGGCCAAACCGAGATCAAACATAGGGAGACTGATGGGTGCACCCTAAACGTACAGTGAAATGAAATGGATACAAGCGCCTTCATCATTTTGATCTAAAGTCTCCATCGCGGCACTAGCATCTGCGCTGATGGTTAATGGCGGTTTTAAAGAGGGATATTTCAGCGCGAGATGCAGATTTGATCCCATTTGGCTCCAGATAACGAACAAGCCCTCCCCCATTTATCAATAGCCGCCATTTTCACAACATAATTATAAAAAATCTATCTACAGCCAAGAGGTACTCAAAGAATTATCTACAGTTTTATATTCTTTTGCATCTGCTGGGAACTTTTTATGGTTATTTTTTGGCTGTTGTCATGGCTTAGTTTGTGACGTTGCTTCAAACTAATGCTGCAGTTTTTAACTTAACAGAGTGTGAAAGTAAATCACGTCTTACTGTTTTTTAAACTCGGTACATTTAAAGGAGCTGTATGAAAAAATCTGGCCAAAAGTGGTACTGCAGCCTCTCCCACTCTCCCTGACTCAGGTTGCCAGATATGCAGACGAATCCAGCTGGGACCATAATATCTGAATAGACAACAAATCTATAACCAACACATTTTTCGCAAAGGCCTCAATAGAAATCCTTCTTTTAATGATTTGAGAATCATAACAAGAACTTTTTTAGTTCTTCGGCCACATGGATATTATTACTGATACTTATTCTGCTCATATTCTCCGCTGCTTAAGAACAATATACACATCTGTAAATGCACCTGAACTGCAAGGTGCAATTATTGATTTTATTTTATTCTTCATCTTTTAAAAAAAAAAATTGTGTATTATCTTAAATAATAGACAATGTGATGTGTGTAATCTGAGTCTTATTTCCTTCTTTCTCTGCTGTAATGTGCAACAATGACACTGAAATGTCTCCTCTGTGAGACGAATAAAGGAATATCTTATCTTAACAGTGAGATTAGCTCGACGCAGTGAGCAGGTGCATCAAACAGATTGTTCAAATGTTTTAAATTGTAATCCATAATGGCATACAAAGCAGAGCAAAACACAGCTCTATTTAACTTGTATTTAAACATGGTGCTTGCTATTTTTCTTACCAACTGATTGAGATGTGATTTTATGTCATCGCAAGTCACAATTGATTGATAAAGTACGCAGTGATTCTGAAAGTGTTAAGTGTTCTAACCTAAAACCATTTTTCCAGCAGAAATAAAAATTCAAAGCAAAAACGTGAAAAATGCCAGTATTAAGTAGTGTTCACAAAAGTCTTAGTCAAACCTGATTTTTTGCACATTTTGACAGTTTGTGTAAATCATGAAAAAGGTGATGTCTCTTTCAGAACGAGAAAATAATGAGAGCAAGGAGGAAAGATACTTGCTTGTTCTATCTTCAAAATACACACTAAAATGTAGATACTACCAAGTTACTAATCTTTAGTCCCTCTTTTCTTTGCAAAGAACAAAGAAAATTTTAGCCGTTTGCAATTTGCCCTAAAGTGAAACAAGGAGCCGTCTTTCTCGTTTGGATCAGCATGTTGTTGGTTGTAGTGGTTTTGTCGACACTCGTCTTGTTTACGCCTCTTCCTGCTATGAAAATCTTTAAATCTGAGGTTTCCGCTTTTTCTTTCAAAGTTTCCCCAGTTATTTTTCCGCCCCAGATGGAAAATGGCCGTTCTGCTTTGGCTGAACTTGAGACGCTTCACCTCCATATTTCAAATGTCCTTGGTCTGCAGCCAGCCCTTATGGATCCAGCCTGCGTCTATACATCACAGAGCAGGATGTGTTTACAGCTAACGCTAAGTTTCCATAGAACGCCAGCACAAGCGGCCCCCCCCAGCACCTCTTCAATCCCACTAACAAATGCTCAAAATAAGCAGGCTGTAAAAGTGGGACGCAGAAATCCAGGCTCACTATCAGTGGAGACTTGTAGACGTGCAGTGGAGCAGTGATGCACCATTTGTTGTTTTGTGCTTGAAGCAGATATCAGTGCCATTGATTTATCCAAATTACACATGTAGAGGTCAACATTTACACATCTCATGGAAACTTGTCCCTGCATGTAACGACTAGATGTGTGAACGTGATTTTGTTTGTGTGTACTTAAGGAATTACTTGGGCTTTTTCTGTAAACAACATTGATTGAGGTCAGACTAATTGAACTCAACAGTTTCACTTTGAGAATTTGATATCAAAATGGTCTTTCCTTCTTTTGAAATGGACCTGTTCACATTTATGGACATTAGTCTTCTGCTCCCTATGGACTTATGGTCCCTCTGTGTTTCTTATTATTGCATTTCCCGTAATCGAATGGTTTGATTCTTTTGTTGTTGAAGCTGCACTTTTTTTTTATGAATTTAAATTGGTCTAAATATGATCCAACCAATGATAATGGTGATGCATATGCCTAGGGGATATATTTTATTAGATAATAATTACTTTGCATTATAGTACAGAATCACATGGTCAAAAACATGGATTCTCCTAAAAATGTGATGCATTTTTTTAGTCATTATTTGTCTTTGAACAAGATTATTTTGTCAAACCAAAACCATATACACTTATGTTTCGGAAATCCAGTATATAGATCAGAATTAAGCACCGCCGTCCTGACCTTTATCTAAGAGCACATAAATCAATGCAACAAAGCCGTGATATTCAGCCTGTATCATAATCTTGTTTTGTTTTGGCTCCGAACATTTTGGCTCTCCCGCTGTTTCTACTACGTGCTTGCGGTTTTTAAGTCCCCCAGCCTCAGGAAGCCACTCCAGACAAAAAAAACCCATGTCTCTTGACAACGGCGCGCATTATCCTTTTCTATTAGCCGCTTCAGGATTAATAATTATAGCTTTTAATCAGCGGCATGGCGAGCGTCCAACCCGAGTCCCATAGCGCTGTGTGTTGTGGTCCAATGCGCCGGTGAGGGGTAGCATAGGTCACTAATGCTGTGTCTTTTTAACAAGCCGCGAAACGAAATGCAGAAGAATACAGCTTGTAGTCCATATAAAACAATTTACGCACATCCCGGGACCTTGGGATACGCCAATCCGTCCCGAGCGAGAAGCTAATTAAAAAAAGTGACCCCGCGCACAAAGGGACCGTAAACAATTTTTACTCCCTGCTATTGTCATGGCCGGACGCGCCATCCATCATTCCAGGAGCCTCGTGGGGCTCCCTGAGAAATGCATCAACAAACGATGTACTGTAGCAAAACGGCATATGCGCGGGCCATTCATAAGGCGGCCTAATTAATGTCCCCGTAGAAGGCTTTTGCAAACCTAATTTAGTGCGTATTTTGTTTAGCGAATGCAAAGTCCTTCAGTGAGTTGCCTCCTGGTCTGCTGTGTGGGTTGTCATTTAGTGCAAGTCAAGCTTCAAGTCAGATATGAAGAAAAGCAAGTCAGCTCACAGCGAGGACACGTGTTTTCCAGGTTTTTTTATTTTCTATTGTTTTTCATGCGTTCAGGGCAAAGATATATCCTGCAGGGCCAACGTAGGTGGCAGACAACTCGCTGAAGTATTGGAGAGTACGCTTTGTTCACTTTATAATTAGCTTACTCAAAAGTTACCCATTTCTCCATTCTTATCATTAGCCGGAGAGTGCGTGCCCGTAAATCCAAAATTTTAATGAAGGTTTTCAATAATGCATATTCTGACCGCCTGGCCAATGTGGCATACAAGTACAATACGATACGGCCCCTCTTTCCGCTGTCCAAGCCAAGGTGATTGGGATTGAGCAGTGGTAGGCTTTTTTTTTAGACATTCCCACTTTTGCAAACTTTTTTAATTTTTTCTCAAGAAACACTTAAATTAACCAGACGTTTTAACCCAGGATTGTAAAAATCTTTTGACTGATTCAGGATGAGACATGACACATTTACTTTGTTATTACCTATTACCTTGTA